GGTATATGATGAATGGAGACAGCCACATGGTTTTCCATTGTACAAGCAAGATGTATGAATGGGGAAATCCACACGACTAACCCATGAGAAAGTAAAATGTAAGGTTAGTGAGGATTGGTTACACAACCATCTCCATCAAATATGAAGCAAGCAAGCAAATGAATGCGATATATGTACAAATGGAGAGATAGCCACACGGCTAGTAAAATGTAAATGCATGAAAGGGGATAGCCACGTGGTTTACCCATAAGCAAGCAAATGAAATGAATGGGGTATGAGGATGGAGAGAGTGTAGCACGACCCTGAGCCGTTATCTGATATCTGCCCTCTGCCTGATGTATCAATACTGCACTGAGGTTATGCTTGGGTTTGTCCAACTGAAATAATCTGGTAGGATAATCTGCTTGAACCAATGTCAAGTTCAGGAGAACCGATTGCACCACCGAAAGGATTAGCCAAGTTTGAGCTGACTTTACACGAAGACACGACTCTAACCGACTGACTTGACATGGTAGACTGACGTCTTGGTGATAGATGGAAAAAATGACTTGACAGATTTACATAAGTATTTTGAAAGATGTCGGATATTGCCTATTGATGGGAAGCTTAGCTAGGATTCCTTTGCCTTAGAAAGTAATTGAATAAGTCTAGGTTCATAGCTCCTGAAATAGATAGGTAAATCTGCTCCTGGATGTCCTTGCCAGATGCCTGATGCATAAGATAGTACTTGACTGCATTAGCTGATTGTTGTTGGTGGCGCTTGATCTAAAAGCTCGCACTTTACGATTTTCCATTTTTTTTGCCCCTGGACCTTAACGGGTTTCACTAGGACTGTGTTCACGTTATTTTTGCGCACTAGCAGGATTGATAATTCCATACTAAGCCCGTGAAATCAGAAAATTTCTTTATCCCTTTTTTGCCCTTGGAATGACCAAGTCTTGGGGTCGCATAATTTTTGCGCAATGAGGCCGTTTCCGGTTTTCACTCATGCCTGCGTAATTGATTAATTTGTTCCCTTTTTTACCCCTGGCAACAATGTTAGGGCTGGGCTCGCATAATTTTTGCGCCTTAGTGTCATTTCTGGTTTTCATTAGGCCTGCGATTTCTGATAAGCTGATTTGTCTTCTCCCGTCATTGCCTGGTAAAAGGGTAGAGAATAATGCTTTTGACCACTGATGCTCAAGACCTTTCAAAGATCAAGGAGGCTTTAGTTACTAGGACGAAACGTAGTAAGAGTACAAACGATGGAGGCTCAAAGTTTTTCTTGTCGGGGGTAGGACACCCTAAAATGTTTATTTGATATTGTATACAGAGACGGAACCAGCTGGCTTCTTTTCATCATTTTGGAGATTTGCCTTTTTTTTTTTCTTTTTTTTTTTGCTCTGTTTAGGGATAGCTGTTCGGTATTGATGAAGATTTGCCATAATGTGACCGAACCTATTTTAGGCTGCCTACGTATCCACGATTAGTGGAATCAGGTCATGTCGTAGTTCAAAATAAGCTTTGCTTTTGATTGGTCGAATTCTTCTCTGTTTGACTTGTCATTCATAGGGTGCCCCAGTATATGGGTTTAGAAAAAAAGGCTATTAGGCTCAATGGGCTAACTAGCGTAAATTATTGCATGGGTACGAAGGAGATATTAAGGGTTAACCAAGGATGGCCTCTTATCCTTTCTCTGATTGGTCAAGAGCATGTGTGGTCATTGCATTATCCTCGTTCAAATATGTTTGATGCTTGATAGCTCGGGGAGGTCTTCGTCGCCCCTTTGCTTCTCGTCTTCTAATGGGTTGGTAGCTCGCCTTGAAATCTTTAGGGAGCAGAATACCTTTCTAGTTTATGAGTTTTTAGATTACTCACCCGATGATCATGCAATTATCCTTTAAAGGCTTTAGAATCTAGTTCAGTTCCCAAAACTAGGCATCTCGGAGTAATAAGCAAGAAAAATTTAACAAAAGTGGGAGATTTCATTATAGTATGAACCGATGTACAGACTTAATTACGAAAGATAAAGACAGGTGGCCACTGGCCAATATATTGACTGGCAGGGAAGACTTTGATTTGGGCCATCATGGCCATTTTCAAAAAAGGAGAAATTAAGGAATAAACCAAAAAGACAAAAAAATGGTGGGACTACTCAAAATCGGCTGTAGAGCGACTCAGGCTGGTGCACCTTGGTTTCCTGCTGGTGCATGATTAGGGAGAGGGACCTGGTTGATGTCGGCGTTCCCTGGTGCAAACTCAATCTTTCCCGTTTCAAGCATGTCTTGGATTGTGTGCTTTAACTCAAAACACATATCGGTGGAATGCCCCGGGGCTTGATGATACCCACAATGGTGGTCAGCCCTGTATGACCTTGGCAGCGTGATTGGTGGCGGCTTGGGTTCCCTCAGCGTGACCAATTTCTTGTCTAGTAGGTAAGGGAGGAGTTGCAAATTGATATATGGCATGGGCGAGAAAACTCTTCTCTTTTTCTGTTCAAAGGTCATTTGCTGCGAGGGAAGCTGTTGCTGAGTCTGCTCTGGTTGTCGAGGTTGCTGGGGTAAATGGGGAATATGAATAGGCATTGCTGTCACCATTTGTACGTGTATCTTTCCGTGGTGGTTGAGGACGATTAGAGGATGACAACCCCTTGGATCCTGAGAACATGTCGACTGCTCCCACATCTCCCATTGTAGCCTCAATCCTGGCCCCACATTTGGCCATAGTGCTGAAGTTGGTAATAGGTTGGGCTGCTAGCAGAGTCTTGAATGGATGCTTGAGTGTGCGGAGGAATGTGGTCACCAACTCATCCTCGGGCAGAGGAGTGTTCATTTTTCTAGCATTTTCTCTCCATCGAACAGAATATTCGATAAATGATTCATTCTCTCTCTGAGTCATTCTCTCTAGATCTGCTCTTTGTGGGACCAAGTCAATGTTGTAAGAGTATTGAGCAATAAATGCCTCACAGAGGCCTTCCCATGTACGGACCTTGGCTGAGTCAATTTTGGTGAACCACTGTAGGGCTGGTCCCTTCAAACTTCTCTGAAATAGCTGCACCAGCAGCTTGTCACCGTGCTCTAGCTGGAACAACTCTCCGCAGTAGACTTTCAGGTGTGTCTCTGGACATCCTTTTCCGTCGTACTTCTCAAATTCGGGCATTTTGAAGTCTCGAGGTAATTGAATCCCCGGATGCAGACACATGTCTCGGAAGTCTGTGGATGGTAAGTTATAGGACCCTTGGGCCCTCTTCACCAATTGTTCTAACCTTTCAATTCTGTCCTTGTAGAAGTCTGGGGTATGTGCTGAGCTGGTTGATATGCCTGGCTGTTCTGTATTTTGGGCAATCCTTGCCTCCTCTTCCTGATACTGGCTAATGTGTGGTGGCGGGATGTTGAAGGATGGTTGGTTCAACGGTAGTGGATTATGAGATGGCCGATTTGAAGGTGACGGGTTATGAGATGGTGGATTTGAAGGTAGTGGGTTATGAGATGGTGGATTTGGAGGTGATGTATTATGAGATGGTGGATTTGGAGGTACTGGGTTGTGAGGTGGTGGATTTGATTGTGGTGGGTTGTGAGATGACGGGTTTGATTGGTTTAAGGTGAGTGGTTCGGCGATCAGGATAGAAGAGGACGGTTGCTCCTTATTCACGGCATTCAAGATATCCTGCATGATGTTTTTCAACTCTAGGATGCCTTGTTCAGTCCCGAATACCCTTGACTCTAAATCAGGGACTTGCGGCAGTACATGTTGAGGAGATATTGGGCTGTCAGGGTCGGTTTCCAAACCTTCGACAACTGGCTCATCTCGATCAGTTAGTCTTGTGCTTACTGGAGTCATCTCGAAGAGGGCAGGTAGCTTAGTACTGCTTCCGCTCAGGGTGCTATAAACTGGGTGGTAATAAGACGTATGTACAGATGAGTCAAATGACGGTGGAGATGCTAAAGGCAGACTGAGTTAAGACAATGATGAAAGTAGTGATGCGACACACATATGATCTGATGGATGAAGTTTCGACATGGGACGTTTCCCCTTGTCTGGTCATGAATATAAATATGTACAAAGAATGATGGATGCGCAAAATTTCAATTGTTAGCATGTTGAATGGTGTTGATACACACAAATGAAATGAATGAATTAAATTGAGTCAAATGAACTGAGCAAGTATACTCAGAAAATGGACAAGTCAGCTCAACGTGTGATCCAATGAGGTGAGTGGACAGAGGTCCATTTCACTTATCTGGGTTGTTGGGAGCCAGAGCCCAATGGGTCAAGATCGAAATGAATCAATGGATTCTCCATATGATTCGCTTTAGATTCTAGGCTTTTAAACCTCACATGATTGAGCTAGCTAAAGAATGGATTAGGGTTAGACCTATTTAGCAATCAAGGCTCACACAAACTCCGAAAATGGTTTAGGTATAGAGATATGGTTGTCCCTATACCTGAACAAATGATGCAGGAGTGGCTTAAACCAGTAACAGAATAGGGATAAGGTAGTCCCTCCTGATGGGTGTTCTTGGTTTATGCCCAGACAAAGACCTATAGTCTATATGCTTATGCTGGTGTATGCAAGGTTTTTGTCTAAAAGGTTGATGAGCACTTGACCGTATATGCGACTCCCCGGTATAGAATATACCTAAAAAGGGACGATTGGTGCAAGCGGGAAAGACCAGTCGCGTTAACCGGAGATAATCATCTCTCGGTCTACAACCAGTACTTTGCATAGATCCTTGGGCTCCAGCATCGGGGATAACCATCCATCGATTGTAAGCTTACCAGATCCAATCTAGATAGGTGAAAGGTTTTTATTCTACTATGGAATGAATATGAATGTAATAATCAATCAAAATCAAGCAATGAAAAAAACTGGAATCCTAGGCATGTTGCTAAGTTGGTAAACAAATGTCCGAGATTCAATGAATGATAACAAAATGAGTTAGTATATGTACAGATTAGTAAAATTAGCAACATATAGATGTAATTAACAGTTTCTGATATGGTTTCCCTTGTTCAGTTCAGACTTAGGTTTTGGCTCGAATACTGGTCTGCGAAACCAGAGATTCTGGGTTCGATCCCCACCAGAGTCGCCAAGCTGTAGACCCGGGATTTTAACCCCCACTCCCGATCAGGATTGAACCCGATGAGGAATAGTGTTAAAAATGTTGAAAAGAGAGAGTCGCCACCTATTTAAATTGTAAGGGTAAATAGGGTCCCTTAAAAGGTTGGATAAGGCTTTGGTCTGGAAATAGAGTTCAAGGTAAGGGTTCATTTGAGTCAGGGGAAGGGGTTAGGCACCCCTAAACTCCCATCCCGAGATGGTTACCTACTCCCTATGTCTGAATTAAAGTGGGAAAACCATAAGAGAAACTTGCATTTAATCTATATGTTTGATAGGTATTATATGAACAGTAATGTACATGTTAAAGTAAGCTAGGACAGGATAGGGGTTCTATCCTAGGTGAGCTGAACTCGATCAGGGTTGCCTACGTATCCACAGTCAGTGGAATCAAGCCACACGTAGTTCCAGATGGGTAGTTGATGGCTTGATTTGTTGGGTGTTTGGATTGTGGGTGTTTGACAAGCTGAGATTGGTCTTTGGATGTTAGGGTGTTTTTGAATAGTTTGGGGGTTTTTGCTCCTGTTAGAGGAGCGAGGTGGCCTTTTAAGCTCGTGCTGAGGAGCGTTTGGACAGTTTTGGCTCATGTCAAGGAGCATCTGGACAGTTTTAGCTCATATCAATGAGCCTTTGGGTTTAGGGTTTGATGGGATTTGAAACAGGGTTTGAGCGGAGTTTCTAGACAAAAGTTCGACTAGGTGGGTAAGGTTTGACCTAGGGTTTAGGTAGGGTTTAGGTGAGGTTTTGAATCAAGGTTTGAGCCGAGATTCGGACAGGGTTTCGACAGGGTATGGTATGTTTGAACCGAAGTTCGGACAGAGTTTCGACAGGGTAAGCTAGGTTTAAAGTAAAACCGGGCAGGGGTTTGACAGGGTAAGCCGGGTTTTAAGTAAAACCGGGCAGGGGTTTGACAGGGTAAGCCGGGTTTAAGTAAAACCGGGCAGGGGTTTGACAGGGTAGCAGTCTAAGTATAAAAAGCAATAAAATAATTATACTAAGAAAGGACAAAGCAAACGTCAGAGTTTCGGTGATTTTACCTTCTGGGAAACCCGAAAGGGTCTCTGAATTAAGTGCTCCCGATAACGATTCTTCGAAATCGAGTTCTCGGGATCGCCGACGCCCAAGAAGAGGGTTTTTTGGAAAGAGGTAGAGAAGAGAGCAAGTGAGTATTGAGTGAAAAATGAAGAAGAGGTGAAAGCTTATTTATAGGTTTCGAAAAAGGATATTCAAAGGAATATTCCTTTGGATATTTTCAAAGGAATATTCCTTAGGATATTCTAAGAAATATCATAAGGAATATTCTTGGAATATTCCAAGGAATACTTTTGTAAAAAAAAAATTAATTTTTTTATTTTTTGGCGGCGCGCGTCGATTTCCAGTTGACCGAAAACCCGATTTCTCGTTTTAAGTCTGATTTGAGCCCAAAAACAGTCAAAATTGAACTGATAAAATCCAGAAAAATATCTTAGATAAAATGTCACTTTTTCAAAACTTAACAAGGGTGTTTCGGTCTTTTTGCACTCCAGGGGTATTTTGGTCATTTTTACCATTTTAGGCTCGATTTGATCGCAAAAACAGCCGAAATTGAACTGATAAAATCCAGAAAAATATTTTAGATAACATGGGAGTTTTCCAAAACTTTTCAGAGGTATTTTGGTCACTTTGAACTCCAGGGGCATTTTGGTCTTTTTTTACCTAAGGGGCGTTTTTTGGAAATCGAAGCACATGGAAAGAGGGTCTTAAAAGAGAGTTTTTAAGATGGTTTTTAGAGGGGTAAAAGATGCTAAAGGGGTGCAAAATTGGGGTGTTTACACCAATCCAACTGGAAGCGAAGTGTGAGGCATTCAAAGTGCACTGTGAAGTTGACGCAATTATTTCCCTGCCGGTCTATCACAGGGATACATTAAAGGAGTCCAAACTGGCGAAGGACTTGGAGTGGTACATACGCTACTGAGCTGGTTTGACCGGCGAGGATCATGCATCATCTTCCAATTATGACGACACGAGATAGCTTTTCCAGGACTAGCCATCGCATTTCTATGTGATCTCCTCCTCTGATAGCTTTGGAGAAGCTGGTAAAGAGTTCTGACATCTGTAGTTACAATTTAGCCCTGATTTTGAGAAATCTTCATAGGTGCACTGGCATTGAAGATGCCCTTTTTGCGGTTTACTACTTAGTTGAGAGTCCTAAGAAGTTCTACAAGGATGACGGTATAACTGCTACGGAGCTGCGTATGTGTTCAATAATCCCTACCAATACTGAGTCAGCGAGGGTGCGGCATTTCGAGAATAGCAATTGAGACATAACTATTAGTGTAAAGGCGTTGAGACCGGGAAGTTCAGCTGTTATGGTGTCAGGGTTCCACTTGCAGATGTACTAATCTTCTAGATATCTCACGGGTTTCTGATCATAAGAGCTGTTAGGACCGTGCTGCAAATAGGTAGGCTTGATATGCAATAAACCTTAAGAGGTCTGCCTCGTATGTTATCTTGTAGCGCGGTACTATGGCTTCGCCTTCCATGGTTAATCCCAGAATGTGCTAGACATCCTCCAAAGTTGGACATAGCTCATTCTTATCGAAACGGAAAATCATGTACGATGGGTTCCAACACTGGATAACAGCATTTATGAGGCACAGATCTGGTTTAGCTATGGATAGGTCTAGGACGGACCCCATTTTGTAGTATTGAGCCCAAGCGAGACGTTGACTAGGAGTGAGGGCTTCAATTGATTTCTGGAGATTGTCGTCACATTTCGCCTGAGATGTCAAATATATGGGCCGTGATGGTTTACCAATTGTCTTAACAATCCCTGAAGGACCTGTCATCTACCTAGACAAAGATAGACTCTATGTCAGTGTACTGTGTATGTAAATACAGATGCAAAGATGATGATGATTGTATTTTTTGATTTTTGATTTTGATTGGATGTGACAAGGCACATATGATCCGATAGGGTAATCAGACAGAGGTCCAGCATGCTTTACCCGGGTTGTTGGGAACCGGGGCCTATCAGGTCAAGCTGGGGATAAGTCTTGTGAAGACCTGTCTGCCTAGGAACATACCTAAAAAGAGATGATTGGTATAAGCGGGAGCATTCAGAATCCTTTCATGAGGGTAATCACCCAACAGGCGTAATTCCGCAGACCTCCATGGTTAATGTAAGCATGGGATTTCGCTACTCACAAGTTTGTTTGAGAGTCGTCACTTATTGATTCAGAAGGGATAAGTCCCCGGGTTATGGATAAGGTCTTGTACTCTACATGAAATTCTAGATAAGAGGTTCGATTAAGTCCTGGGGAAGGTGTTAGGCACCCGAGACCCTCATTTTGCAATGGTTACTTACTTTTTAGGTGTAAGCCAAATTAAAGTAAAATTGTTATTCAAATGCCTAAGTATTTAGAGTATACTAACCTAAGAAAGAAAAGCTAACTAGGATCGAACCCTAGTTAGGTTGCCTACGTACTCATAAGGTTGAGATCAGACCGAGGTAGTTTTATCACATGAGCCCGTGTCAAGGTTAAGGGGAGTGTGTGTGTGCACCAGGATGGCTAAGGGTCTAGCCTGGGGCCTAGGGTTTGGTTGATCGGGTTGGTCAAGTGCATGGTTTGGGCCCGGAGGCCAAGGATTAGTCTAGTAGACCAAGGGATTAGGCTCGGTAGGCCAAGGGTTAGTCTAGTAGACTAAGCATTCGGCCTGGTAGGCCAAGGGCAAGCCTGGTAGGCTAAGAGACTAGGCTCGGTAGGCCAAAAGGAGTTTAACCGGAGTTAAAGGGAGAGTTAACCATGGTTAGGGCTACTAACCATGGTTAAAAGATCCAAGGTCAAGGTTTTTGGTTGTTTTACATTTTTTGTATGTTTTTGATATTTTTCCAATTTTCCAATGGTTAAAGACTTTAACCATGTTTAGGATTTAACTGAGGCTAAGTTAACCCCAATTAAGAGGTATCGTCTGGTCAGGGTGGGCCAGATGACTTGGCAGGGCCTAGAATGGCCACCTACCTAGTCTGGGCCTTGTGTAAATCCCATTTACAGAAAAATAAGGAATAGAGATTACCGCCATTTCTAGTTATTTACAGAACTGGAATGGCGGTAATCTGTTTACTGCCAATTCCAAGCATTTCTGGAACTGGTTTTACTGGTCAAGGGTGAGGTCAGGTGTAAGCACCTAATTTTTACACCCCCTTCTTGATCATGACTAATTAACTAAACCATGGTTAAAATCCTAACCCTAGGTAAACTCTAGTGAAACCTTAGGCAAACCCTAGGTCAAACCTAAGCAAACCCTAGTTAAACCCTAAGGAACCTTAGGACAAACCCTAGTTAAGTCGTAGTCAAACCTAAGCAACCCTAGGCCTAACCCTAATCAAATCTTAGGTAACTAGTTAAACCCTAGGCTTAATCCTAGGTTCACCTAAGGCCCATTTATAGGCCCAAGGACCCAAAATCAAAGTCAAACTCCCTTATGGACCCAAAAAGGGGCCCACATACCCTTGAGGACCATTACTGTGGGGCCTACTGCTATAATTTGAAAAAAATCAGGAATGGTGGTAAAGTTTTTACCACCAGTTCCAATTTTAGTAAAATGCACAGTGCCATAAGTCAATTGCGTGAAGGTTGGGCCCATTTTAGTAAAAAATAGGTAATCTTAACCGCTATTCCTAGTTTAGGCTAAACCAGGAATGGCGGTAGAAACTCTACCACCATTACTGGTGTTGTGTTCAAAATAGTCTGACACTCCCCCTGGCCACTCCAGCTCCGCCTACCTTGGGTTGTCAACCTCCATGGTAATCCCTAAAGTGCCCTAGGTCCTCCCCAATCCTATAAATAACCCCTACCTCCAAGCTTTAATAGCATACAAAAAACTATCACAGTAAAACCCTGTGAAAATTCGGCCAGCTCAAGCTTGGGGTCATTCCAACCTTTGCAACAATCCTAAACCTTTAGGGGAACTCTTAGACCTCCCGAGGGA